TGGCTACGAGGGGGCGAGATAACCAAGGATCCGCAGCCAAGGCGGTCTTATTCACATCGTTCGGCCTCAGTTGGCCACTGCCATAACCTGACAAAATGGTCCAGTGAAATGAAACAAAGGGCACATAAAACAGTCAAATCAGATGGCAGATGAGACACAATTTCGATGATAGAACTACAGCGCTTTGACGGCCAAGTCATGCTTCCTTCTGACATTCAAAGCCTGTTATCTGTTAAGAATCAAAGTGCGCCACCTCCTCATCGTCTCATCAGATACAGGAATTCGAGTGACCAAAGAAGTCGCAAAAGTGCAACGACAGGTTGACTGTCGCAAACGACGACACCCACTGCGTGCCGACACCTTGCGTGTGGATTCATTTAAAGTGAGGCAGACTTGCACGGCCCCTATCGCACCACCTCCTCCCCATCCACCCTGAGTTTGTGGTCAAAATAACGCGAAAACGACCGAACAAGGATTGGAGTGCGGTGACTGATAAAGCAAATACCATCAGAGTCCCTTAAAACAATCGACCAAGAGGACACCAAATCCAAGTCCGCAAAGTTGGAGGGAAATTGGAGAGGTGTTCAGCGAAAAAGAGAAGACCGCGGGGCTTTTCCAGGTGGCCTGCGTGTTTTGTGGTTTAGGAGTCAAAAACTCCACCAGGGAAACCGCTCTATCCAGCGACTGTAAGGGAGGAGTTGAGAGAGGGAGAGAGTGTGTGATGGGTGATTGCAGTCGTCAAATTGAAAGAAGAGCTAGTCGATCACCGCGGTCGGCGGACGACGCCAACAACAGTGGGGACGGTAGAGAGGGCGTGAGAAACCAAGAGGCTGCCAAGAGGGAGATCTTACCTAGTCCGGGAGAAGAGAAGGCGGCAGTGCCTGACTTCTTCTTCTTTTTCTTCACGCCGCTCGCTCGCTCTCCCCTGTCGGGTACGCAGGAGGAGAGGTCCGTCAGAAGGCGGGACAGCGGCGGGGGCGGGGGCAGCGTCCGTCCGTTGCCAACCGCCGAGGCGACCGTTGACGTCGCGATGGCCGCCAAATTGCGGTCAATCTGGGTGGTTAGAAAAAGGAGACGGCGAAAAGAGAGCGCACAATTGAAAGCAGACGTAATGAACCCCGTGAGATAAAAAGTGACAAAAACTAAGGCCTACCGAAGGGCACTTTTACTCAAAGTGCCAATTCAGTTCCAAAACGGGAGGCTCATTCGGTTTAACTGGACTGAAATTGCTGCCCGCATTCCATTCGGTAAAGAACATGGATCATGGGAAGTGCTCATTCAATATGGGCAGTCGCCGCACCACGAATACTAACTAGGCACAGTGAACATGACTTAAGGGGGTTTGAACAATTCAATCGGTAACAGAGTATGTACAAGTGATTTCTCAGATGCGTGTGTTATCATGTGCTCAAGGCTCACGGCAGAAGGGTATTTTCTTTTCACTAGAGGCGCACTCGAGATTGGAAAGCCCTGGATTCAGTGGGTCACTGGGTGCTCGGGTTTAACGTCTTGTTCACTGAGACTACTGGACTCGTCTTCCATCAGTCAAAATCTAGAAGATTCGCTGGCCGATCCTGATCGCACAATGAATGTGGGCATCTACGTCTTACCTTAGTGCTGTAGATCGAAAACCCTCCATAAAGACACCGCCGGACTAGCGTTAACTGCTGTCTTGGGGGCCACTTCCGTTGAAAACCCTGCCAAGTAGACGCTTCAAAAGTTCAGATGCCCACAAAACAAACTCTGGAGTGCAAATGTAGGCGGTCTCTGTGTTTCCTCTCTGAATTCTAGGTACGAAATGTGTGAGATGAAATTAACTTCCCGTTTCCATACCTCCAGGATTCGAGAGAAAAATAATCCAGGGGTACATCGAGAGACCCGGGAAGACGGGTTGCCCGTTAGCCTAGCTGCTGGCTACCCGGCGCGTCCACAGGTGGCGGATAGTGGGACGACCTTCAGTGAAGGTTAGCTGCGAAATAAGCAGACCCAGGTCTGACGAATAAGCAGTCGCGGACCAGCAGCGACATTGCTACCAGGGTGCGGTGGGCTGAAGGCTGGCACGCTGAAAGCCTTATAAAATGCCGCAAAACCCAATGACGGCATTGTGACATGGCGACCGTAAACCACCATTAAATAAGTTTACTTGCCACCGCTGCCTTGTGGTTAGGCTTTTCAACCAAAGCGCTAGAGGAGACAACCTCGAACAAACAATCCGAGCGGCTGTTGGGGACCCGCCCGTATTCAAAATTCCCAAGAAACCTCATGAAACATGTCCGATCACAGTACTACGATCCATGCTACGGCGTCCGCGGGAACCGACGCGCTCCGCAACCCTGGTCCAGTGGTGCGGGCGAATAGTATGCGAGCTGGACTACTCAATCGTGGACGGACTCTCTGTATTGGATGCTGGAATGTACGAACGATCCTCGACCCTGGTACCCAAAGTCTGACAGCACGCAGCCTTCATCAGCACAACGTGGATGTCTGCTGTCTGTCTGAGGTACGACTCCCTGACTCGGGCTCTCGTGAAATAAAGATCCCGGGAGTCGAATCCCTTTTCACCCTGTACCACAGCGGCCCCCGCGATTCCTCTGGTCGACATGGTGTGGCGATCGCCCTATCACAACAAGCAGACCTCGCGCTACTTGCTTGGGAACCAGTCAATGACTGGATGGCCTACGTGCGACTGAAGGGTCACTTCACCAACATCTCCATCATCGCTGTGTACGCACCAACTTCGGCTGCTGAACAGCGCGATAAAGAGGCGTTTTACTCTCAGTTGCAAGCGCTAGTTGAAAGACTGCCGCGCCGCGATCTGCTGATTGTTGCTGGCGATTGGAATGGTCCAACTGGACCTGGCGACCCCACAACCAGTCATCTTCTTGGCCGCTTTGGGCTTGGTTCCCGATGTGAAAATGGTGAGAGATTGCTGAGCTTCGCTGATCGAAACCGACTGCTTGTCACCAACACATGCTTCCAGCATCGAAAAAAACATCTGCTGACCTGGTATTCAAACGACGGTCGTACGGCCAGTCAGATTGACTACATACTAGTCAGCTCAAGATTCCGCAGCTGGGTTCACGATAGCAGATCGATGCGTGGTGCCGAGACTGGTAACGCCCATGGGTCGGACCATGTCCTCGTCCGTACACGCCTGAAAGTTCATCTCTCATCCTCGCAGAAAATGCCACGTCCTAGACGCCTCAATGTCGCCAAAATCCGGCAAGCCAGCACTGCTGAGACCCTAAGCGGAGAAATCCGGACCTGTTTTACGACCCGAGCCGACGGAGAAGTCAGGAACCAATGGTAGTCACTGAAGACATCCGTCTATGGGGCAGCTGAGAAAATCCTTGGATACACCCAGCGACGCCGCAGTGACTGGATCAGCGGGAGAACCCTGCAGTTGTCTGCTCAGACGGCTAGAGCCAGGTCCCGCAACAATGACTACTTCCGCCAACATCGGAAGATGACGGCAAAATCGGCCAGCGATGACTGGAAGCAATATTGGGCTGAAATAGCGACATCCATGGAACAGGCCTCGAACGTTGGTGACACTCGAAAGCTCTACCGTCTGATCCGCTAAGTAAGCGGTAAGCCCTCTACACTGAGTGACTCTGTTCACGATGTGAACGGCGGCTTTATTGCTGACAACTCGGCCAAATTCGAGCGCTGGCGTGAGCACTTTGAGCACCATCTCAACTTCGATACCCAACCAACATCGCCCTTGCTCTCCTCCACAGCGGAGTTTCTTCCCTCTCCTACCTATGCAGTGCCATGCGATCCCCCCTCCGAGGAAGAAGTCGCCGATGTCATACGAAAGTTGCGCAACAATAAGGCACCCGGAGAGGACGGTATACCCGCTGAAATCTTCAAGTCTTGTGTCGACACTCTGGCGCCCAGGCTCCATGAGGTGATTGAACGAGCGTGGAGAGACGAGGTTGTTCCTAATGACTGGGACTTAGGCATCCTTGTACCTATCCTCAAGAAGTGGGATAAGACGAGATGCGAGAACTACCGCGGCATAAGTCTCCTCGACGTTGCTGCGAAGATCTTCGCTATTGTCCTACTCAGGCGATTCCAGGCTGTGCGTGATTCAAGGACGAGGCCCAACCAAGCCGGATTTCGTGCTGGACGTGGATGCGCAGATCAGATATTCACACTGAGGCGCATTCTCGAATTTCGCCATAGCTACCAACAACCGACGGCTGTCTGCTTCGTTAACTTTGCCGCCGCGTTCGATTCCGTTCACCGTGAGTCCCTGTGGCGGATAATGGCGCTAGATGATGTACCGGCAAAAATCATCGCCATGATCAAGGCCTACTATCGCTCCACTACTGCGAGAGTCCTGGTCCGTAACAATCTTCCCCAACCGTTCGGTATTCGGTCTGGCATCCGACAGGGTTGTATCCTGTCACCCATACTGTTCAACTACGCTATTGACTGGATCCTCGGGAGGGCCCTACGCGACAGTGACGGCGTTGAATTTGCACCCGGACATCGACTGACTGATCTCGACTACGCCGATGATATCGCCTTACTTGCTTCAAATTTTGGTGATCTGCAGTCTATGGTGTCACGGGTGAACGAGGTCGCTAAATCAGTCGGTTTGTCCATAAACGCTGGGAAGACCGAAGTATTCTCAAGCTGCATCCCTGGCCAGGAGAAGGCACCCCTCGGGATTGATGGCTGTCAACTTGAAGAAGTGGACAGTTTTAAATACCTCGGGGCGAGGCTGCTGCCTAACGGACAGAGTAAGGACGACGCTGTCTCCCGAATCGATGCTGCCCGCTGGGTTTTCTCAAGCCTTCTGAAATGCCTGTGGAACCGACGTGACCTCTCCATCGCCACTAAGATTCGCGTGCACCGCGCATCTGTCCGGTCTGTCCTCCTCTACGGTTGTGAATGCTGGGCTTTGCGCGTGGAGGATGAGCGAAAAATGGGAGGTATTTGACCACCACTGCTTGAGGATCATCCTTCGAGTGAAGTTAACCGAGTTCGTCTCAAATGAGACAGTCCGCGCTCGCTGCGACAACATCGCAAGGATGACTCAGGCCATCCAAGGAAGACGACTGAGGTGGTTCGGGCATGTTCTTCGTCGTCCACCTCAGGAGCTCAGTGTTACTGCCCTCGACCCGGCACCGTTGCCCCATTGGAGGCGTCGAACAGGGGGTCAGTTCAAAACCTGGCTCGACACTGTCCGTCAAGACATGGAGGTGGTCCTTGGACCTTCGGTATTCGGTCTCCGTCGTTGGCGAAAGGAATGGGTCGAGCTGTCTAGATCTGCTGCCGCAGATCGTCACGCGTGGAGAGGTACAGTTCGGGACATCATCGAGGCCGGCTAGATCCGGCATGATCGCAGCCGTATCAAGTACAAGTACAAGTCGAGAGACAGGACACCACCTCAACTGAACATTTGAATGGATTGTTGGGCAAAGACCAATTTGCCTTGTTGAATTTCCGAGGAAATTAATGCGCGAACTTGGAGTAAGTCTTTCGGAACAGACCCTTTCAGGTACTATTCGAAATTTGATATGAATATTTGAGCTGAAATTCATCAGCTACTGCGGAATTACCGTGTGATATTCACAAACCGCAGCCAGTAGCATAGAAATGTGTAATTATTTACCGTACTAACAACACAGGTATTAACCAAAAGCCCAGCAACGCCTATAATCGTAAAAGGCGCATACTGGGCGGGGACAGTGGTCATACGACGTAGAAATTAATTTCCTGTTACGATACCTCCAGCATTTGCGCGCAGTCTTTCATAAATGCGTGGAAGAAAGGTACGACGAGAGACAGGGTTGTTGAAAAAAAATCACTCTTAGAGCGGCAACGCCTATAATCGCAAAACAGCGCAGACTGGGAGGGAACAGTGACAGACTGCTTACCCATTCGTGGTCGGCGCTGGTGCAGTAAATGGGACTGGCGGCATTTCCGGAGTCAGAGAATACGGCATGGGGGCAGGGTGGGGGCGCAGAGAGGACAGTGGAGTGAGTGGCAAGAGCGCCAACTATCAGATCCTGTTCCGAACTCTCCGGACAATCTTTCTAAAAGGCGATGCAGTAATTTGGCCTGATGATCCGTGAGTGGTTAAACCGGAAATGAACTCGGTTAGATCGCATTTGGTAGCCAGGAATGGGAGGCGGACAACGACCTAAGCCTAATCCCAACCTTAACCCTAACCCTAATCTCAACAGTAAACTTTAACCATTAATCCTAACGGCAACCCTAACCCTAACCGAAATTGTAAACGTAACTGTAGCCCTTAGGCATAGGCGTAACTAGAAAACCTAACCGTAATACTATAACCTAATCGTACGCTCAAACCCTAACCGTAACCCGAAAACCTAAGCCTAAATGCATAACCCTAACCCGAAAATCCGAAGCTATTAACCGGTACCCTAATCCTACCCTCAACCGTAAAACAAAAGCCGAATGGGTCACATGTGATTATGAAGCCTTACGAAATAGCCGCAGTAAACAAGCCCTAGCCACCTGTAATGCGGTGCCTGGCTACCAACTGCGATCTAGCCATGAACTCGTTCAAAGACACACAAAAAGAAGATCAGCCACTCTAAAAGGACTAACATCGCCGCGGAGAAATTACAGCGTTCTTGCTGCCTCTTCTACGCAGGCTGTATGCAGTGACCCTGTTCATTTAAGATGACAAAGGCTGATATATAAATGGCTTCCACAAAAGTGCTGTATAGTGAGTAAAATTAAAGAGGAGGTCGGCCGCTTCCACTTTCATGACAGACATAGAAGAATGCTCCGCATGCGCTCCTTTTACACAGTCATAAGAAGGATCCGCGTCAAGCATTCTATCTACTTGCTATTCGCATTGCATTCGTTGGTTGGTGCCTACAAGGCCGACCACGGCTGCATAAAACACGCACGTATTCATTGAGTCAGTAACTTGCAGTTTTCAACGCGGAAACTGCACCCCCCCACTTTAGAGGTGACCGAGACTTTACTTAGATGCATGACTTTTGTTCTCCGAGTTTTGGCGTAAAAAATGACGTCAGCAGCAGTCGCCCCATGAAGCAGATCACGCCTTCCGCCCCTCCTTAGAGTGTCCTATGACCAAACTGACGGAGCAGCTTCTAATGGTAGACTTCGGTACATGAGCAGGCCCTGCTTTCAGTAATCTCCCACCGTCTTCTTGATTTCATGCTGGCCACAGAGTTAACCGTTCTGTCAGAGGTGTAGAAAATCGACGTTACCGCATGCCTGATGCGTAAAGCCGGAATCGAGCAGTTTAAGTTACCTTTCTCCTGAATATACGTGGCAAGTCCACCGTAAACACAGACAGGCACAACAAACTAAGATAAAGTAGATGCAAAATGAAGAAGGATAAATGTTAGGAAATGAACTCTAGATTGTTCCTCAGCAAGAGTAATAAGACAATTCCACTTGTGTAAGACAAAACAATGGCCTACAGCGAGGCTAGTAAAGCTGAAAAGAACGCTCTCGTTAGTCTGCGGCGCTATTCGCAAGCCACAGAACACCTACGAAGGCTCTACCTCCATTAGCTTCAGAAACGGCGCCCTAAGTCTCATCTCGTCAACATCGGAAAATATTTCATAGCACTAACAGTGTCCACCAAAATTCACCCTTTCGGCCCGATAATACCCATGAACCCAAACCAGACATGCCTTCTTTAACCAGAGGTACAAAAAATCCCAGACGGACGAGCTGAATGAGTGTTTTTGCTGCATAAAAATCCTACTCGTTCACATGAAGCAATTATCGAACGGTGCTCCGAGCTCTCCGATATATCTTTCAAACAGGCAATGCAAGAATTTGGCCTGATGGTCCATGGGGGTGGCTGACATAGAAATGACCTCGTTCGGTGAGACACAGACGAAGATTACCCACCCTAACAGGATTAACCTCGGGGCGTAAAGATGCAAGCGGTCCTAATGCAATTTTACGCAGGCTGCAGTCTGGGTACCTAAAAAAGATCGAATAACAGTGTGCATCTAAAAAGACGCACACAAACACACATACATGTTTTCTGCAAACTCACGATCAGGTGAGTGCAGTACAAAAGTAATGGGCGCTCATCCACTGGGACTAGTGTCTTATGAGGTTGCTATTTGAGCGCACAAGGTAGACTGCTGGCGAAGTTATGAGCTGGCCTGCCCTGAATGCGTCAGTGCTTACGTCGGACAATATCTTCATTGCCTCGTGGTCCAGGGTCCATAGCCGGACACGACGATTAGCACTATTTTGTACTAAGGCAGTAGACACGAAACAACCACAGTACCACCGAAACAGAACCGAGGCAGTGGGGCACCACGACATGTTATCAGACGAGAAATTAGAGTATGGGAGGGAGAAAAACTCACGAGGCAGATGACACATTTGACAGAAGCCGGTTTCTTCTCCAGCACCCTGAGTCGGTCCACATGCACATTGGGTCCCAGGACGGCAAGCCTGAATAGGTTGCTCGGGTCGAGGGAAAGGTCAGCAGCCTCCACTCCGTCGCTGTCCGCCTGGGGATGGGACGGGGGGGGGAGAGAACACAGTGAGGAGAGAACATTTAAATCAAAAAGTGCCTGCGGAAAACTAGAAACTCTGCACAGAATCAGCATTCCGACACCGATGCATGTCACTGTCTGACAAAACGAGAATGGAAACAACGAGCATGCCTTCAGTTCCTGCTAAAAGACCTGTAGTAAAATGCTCCGCCAGTTGGGCCTTGAAGGGATTACTTACTAATTACGAGTTCAAGTCAGTCGCTAGGGCCCCACGAGTCCATCGAAGGACATTCTAAATTTCAATAATGCTAATAGCAGTTGTTATAGTCACCAAGTGATTACATGCCCGGGACCACATACAGGTAGAATGAGTTAACAACAGCTTTAGAGGCGAAAAGAAATCAGCGGCCCGTCATATTCCCAAATATGATGGTCATCTTTACGATCACGAACTTGAGGTCATGAATAGACGGTTAGAAGTATCAGTCAGTATATTTGGAGTAAACGACAGAAGCCCTGAAAACTCCATGTGGAAAGTACAGATGTTAGGGAAAATAATTCAATTGCAAAACTTTTGCTTGCAGTTTTAGTAAGGAGAATTCATAAATCTAATAATGGAAAGTAAATGCGAAAGGCGTCTGGTGTTCGCGAAATAATTGTGAAAAACTTTGTTCACGCATTCGGACTGTGAAAATTTCCACATGGGTTCAGTTTGAGGCACAAAAAAGGATCTGTTGAAATCAGGTAAGTAGTATATTTATAGTCATTTCAGTAATCCGTCAGATCAAGCTTCGGCAGTACGGGTTGCCCTTCAAAAGATGAGTATCCAGTTGTCTCTTGAACACGCTCACGGTAGGGTAATTAACAACATACTCCGGCAAAGAGTTCCACTGGCAAATGACCCTCTGCGAGAAAAAGGAGGAACGTTGATTTGCGTGGTACAGTTCCTTTTTCAGTTCGTAAGCATGTCGTCTTAGATCCGCCGCGTGTCCGATATAAAATATTTATGTCTAAAATTCAACCCTTTTGTGTGAGCTCATGGGTCTTGTGTGTGGGGACTATTTTGTGTACCCGTATCTGGCACGCACAGAAGAGGCCCCAAGCTCTGTCAGCCACTGGACCTTATCCGCGTATCAGACAGCTGACCGCCTCGTCGGTGGATTGGTGCCTTGGTGGGGGAGAAGAGTGTGAAGTTAACTGTCCCCTCATATATTCCTCACTATAAACAACCTGACGTTCCTGGATCTCTCAGGATGAGCTAGAGGCCCTAGCTTGAAATGCGATCCACAGATGGGATACCTCAGTCTTCCTCCCAGGGCGGAGAATCAGACAACAATGGCTCCTTCTTCACATGACTTCTATGGCAATCCCACGCAGTTGGTATCCGATCCGTCTCCCCCACCCTCGCATTCATGGTGTGTGAAATCCCGGTCATTTGTGTGTGGACCAGGGGGTGTGGTTGCACGCTTCGATGTACTCGAGTTACTCAGTGAAGATATGACAGACTGAGAACTGGTGGTCCTTTTACGTTTACTCTGACAGGCAAGCATGACAGCTAACATCGTCTCACTCGATGTCGTCATGTCCGCCTCCGTCGAGATCTTTAAGAAGAAGCTGCATTTGTACAGCGCTGTTCACTATAATACCACCCGACATCTGTAAGCTTGACAAATATGCAAAATTCTATTGTTATAATACTACTGGCTATATTTCAGTAACTTTTTAGACAGAATATATTATTGCTCCGAATAATCGACTACGCCTACTGGCATGCACCTATGCAATTTTTGTCATTTGGGATATTATTCCGTTCACTGTACTCCAAACGAATACAGTACTTCTTGCTTGTACCCCTAACACTCGAGACAGTTCGTCTATCTGTACAGAATTGACACTTTCCCGATTACTTGTTACCTTTATGATACCTCTTCTAATCTTTGAGATGTTTAAGTTGCATGTAAACAAATAGGGAGTTCAAAGGTTCAGACATACATTTCCCTCAAATAAACTGAACTAAACTGAAGTCTGCCTGCGGCGCCAAGACGCAGCTGCTCGAACTAACCGCACAAATGCAGACAAACGCGGTCAAGCCGTAGATCGGTGACCCCGCACTGACAGACGCTATCCTATGGTCCATACCTAAATAAGCTCTGCCACGAGCTTGACACACCTGTATCGGGCAACAAACCGGCAGTAGGCGTTCGCGAAGAAGGCCGGAGACTCACAGGTTGAACCGCCGCCTTGTCATCCTCCTCCTCATCATCCACGAAGTCCGCAAACTGCGCATGCGCGACGAATAGCTTCCGTTGCATGTCGGCCATCCTTGCGATTAGGCTCGACCTGCCCTCAGCCTTCAATCGACGTTCTTCTTCTTCTTCTTCTTCTTCTTCAACATTTGACACCTAAATCACCGAAAAATGGGGACAAGAGATGGCAGAAGATGGTGTAATATAGTATAGCATTGTATGTTTAGGGTAATAGACAGTGCCCTTGACGACCCTATTGAAAACGGTACATACAGTGTTAATTTTGAATGCACGTATTACTAAAAAGTTGTTAGTAACATATTCTTTAACGAAGAATCTTCTATATTTGACACCCACATCATCGGAAAAGGGGAACAGATGATGACAGAAGATGGTCGAATGCACTGCTGCAGTTAACAGCACACAACAAGTGATAAGTAAACACCAAAATGCCCTAACCGCACCTAATCCGATCCCCTGCGGAACCCCACTGTGAACGGATGCCCATTCCGATTTGGCGTTACCGATACAAACACACAGAGATCTGACTGTAAGAAAATGGGATAACCATCTCAGCAGATTCCCACTCACACCCATTTGACGCAGTTTAAATACAAGTCATCTGTGTGGAACATTATCAAAACCCTTTCTGAAGTCAGTGTACACGGTGTCGACCGATAAATCCCTTTCGATTGATTTCGTCCAGCACGCCATGGATACTAACGGGTTGGTAAGACAAGATAGACCCCTTCCAAACCCATGCTGATGCAAACTGAGCAAGTTGTTTTCTTCTAGATGCGCATCATCTTCCGTTTTTATTACCTTTTCCATCACTTTGCAACGGATGCTTGTGAGACTCACTGGCCTGAGATAATTTAGGGCTGTTCTCTTGCCACCTTTATATGCGGGGCTTATATTGGCTCGATTCCAGCCGACAGGCAGAGCCCCAGCTTCCATCGAAGTTTTAAAGGTCTTGGATAACGGAGGGCCAGTTGGTCTAAGAGTTCATTCAGGACATTTGCGAGCATGTCGTTCAAATACGGCTGCTATCACGACCTATGCCCCATACACCAGGCGCTTTCTCAAAACGCGGAGGCAAGCTAGGTCCTCGCGGCGGGTGAAGTACTGCAAAGCACTCGAGACCGGCTCCGAGGTCACTGTCCTTGCCTTACTTCGTTCAGTCCTTGGGGATGTTCTTTCTTGCACAGGCAGGGAGCGAATTGTGGTTGGCAACGGCTACAAAACACCCAAGCGGCTGGTCAACAGCATTCCGGTATTGAGGCATTTTCAGACTGTCAGCATTCTTTCAGGGTTCGGAGTCGCCTCATGCAGATTTCAGCTCCGGTCCAGATGGTACAGCCAACCATCCCCACTTTTACATTTGCGGTTGTTTATAAAGGATGCCACTGTTTAAAACACCGAACCACGTTGAGAAAAGACGCGGATGGGTGGGACAAAGACGAAGCAGCATAGAGATAACGTACCACTTCGGTGGCTTCTAACGGTGGTGCCAGATGGAGAGGGGACGAGGACTGGCTCTCGGCAATTGACTTCCAGAGTTTGAGAGTCCACCTATGGGTGAGAAAGAACAATTTCAAACCGCACCGCAGAAGACAGGGTGAGAGACGGCAAGGAAGCGGCACAATCGTCGAGGCGACCAGTTTCAGATGACTCAAGCCCTCAGGTGACAGGAAGTAGACAGTTCGGCGAGGCGGAGAGAGATTTCTCCCCTTTGGACTTCAACAATAGCAATATCAGCTGTAACCTCAAGCAGAATGTTTTCTACCGGAGGAAGGGGAATAGAGAAATCCCGCATATATTTGCTCCTAGTGGGACAAATCTGCGCAAAATCGACCTCTTCTCAAAACACTCCCCTTCTTCTGATAGCTCGACAAAACTAAGGTGGGCGTGGGCGTAGCGACTGAGAACGCCAAAGAGCCGGTCTGCGCATGTCACACACGAACTCGTCCCAACACCAACTGCATCAGGCTTAATGTAAGACAGGCCTCCACCCACCCTTGCACCATTGCTATGGTAAAAGGGAGCGACACGCGTGTTCCATATAGTAATGGGGCATCGGTAGGGTGTACGACCCTAACTAACAAGAACTAGCCTGTGGACTCTGTCCTACGTTGAATAGTGCTCAATGTCAGTTGTTTTGACAACGACGAAGGAGTCATCGACATAGCGAGCACAGAACTTTGGTTCATACATGGCGAACACCAAGTGTTCTATCCGTTAAAGAACTACTTCAGCGATTAGGCTTGATAGAGGGGAGCCCATAGGAGTGCCTATGGACCTGTCCTACGTTTAATGGTGGTAGAGGAGGCTTTACAGGTGGGGCAATACGAAGGATGTACAGCAAGAGGACACAGAAAATAGACTTCTGTCAAAGGTTTTGTCGTACGCCGTCGTTTTGCACAGAAAGCGAGTGTCATAATTAAAAAATAAACAAAAAATAAGTTTACATTTAGTCAGGAAGTGGAGGGAGTATCAACCAGTAGGAAGGTGAATAATAAGTGATGTTTAAGGGCACACAGAATTTTAGCACACATGTTTGAGTTACCGGCTACGTGGGGTCCTACACCCTACCGCTACCATTAATGGCACAGAAATGCATCATCGCGAGGGTTCGACCGGCGATTCCTGCGATGTCCGACGTGTGCCTCACCGCAGGACGGGACCAAGAACGGTGATTTTCGCGTAAATTAGTCTCGAGTGCTAGTAGACCTCGGCTGCATCTAACACATGCTCTCATTCTCTCCCACCTGGGTCCAGTGGCATGAAAAATTCAAGGGGACCGGAGATGGGAGACAGCGCAGGTGCTTGACCCGACGTGGGTTTGCTCCTAGGCGTGCTACCACCTAACATGTGTCACACCCCCATGTGTGACACTTATTTTGAGTGCGAAGCCAAAAAACCCTCACATGAACCCCGATCGTGTTCCCATTTTAGTCCAGGGGATTCGCATGCCTCAAACACACACGTATTATCTTTCTGCTGCGCTAGGAGTTAAGTGGTCACGCCTACCGGGCGCCAGAACATGAGCACATCTAACCCCGGGGATAGCCAATCACGGCCGTCCCAAAACTCTCCTATCAACCAATAAAATCGACCATGCTGACATTGACTCCCACGTGACGCATATTCACTCAGGCGCACATCACCCTAAAGAACAGGCACGCGCGCAAGCCCACAGTCAGCGAATTATGCAAAAGTAAAAACTACGGCAGAGGGCGCCCAACAATCGCTCTAAGGGATTTATTTGTCCCGCAGCCAGAAAAAAAATCGACGAGACAGGTGCTTGAATTTCCACCTGACACCCAACTTTTGTGGCACGACTACGGAAATGTCGTTTTGCGAAGATGCTGAGGGCGAATAAGCCAGAATTTAAACATCCGAGTAATCCGAATTTCTGCCCATCTCAGTGAGGATTTTGACAGAGAGGCAAAAAACACAAAATAACACACAGAACGCACTAACTTGATCAGACCAGCCTGCCGGTTGTGGTACGGTTTCTCAAGCAGGGCCTCCAAGCGGGGTACGAGACAGTTACTGGAATAGATGAGAGGACAAAAAATAAGCAGAATAAGAAAAAGAGGAAGAATAAAAAAAGAAAAAGAAGAAAACTATCAAAACAGGGTTTTCCCGACAAAACACACGTAGCACATCCGGTGGTGACCAACTACAGTTGTTTTCGTCAGTTTAATTTTGTGATCTGCAGGATAAGTGAGAGCGCTTCAGTGGATGGTGTCATGATATTGTGTCAGTTGACTGACGAGTCCAGTCCTAGCTATCAAATGTAGGTTGGGTCATTGTAGTTGGACTTGTAACAATAGGTCGAATTTACATCGACAACAATAGTGTGCCCACCTGTCTCACGAACCAGCGGTCCGGATGGGCAAATTATACCAACTGCTCTAATTTAACTGAGAGTAAGAAGAGTGACAACAGTGCCTGCGATTACACGCCGGCAAGAGCGACACAGGAACCAGACTGAATACGGCATTCCCACGCTTCAGATGTATCAATCATAACCAAGCGCACACAAGCATTTCACTCTAACAATTGAACAGCTAACAAACCGCTGGCTTACCACGATGCCACTTGGTCCACGAATATACAGAAGCGTCGGTGAGTAGATGTCTGACGTCGGGCGTGTGACCTTCGGCTGGCCCTTTCCCCCTGACGTGAGGAAACGACTGCTGGGGGATTCGCGATTTGTTCGCCAATACTGTCCGTCCCGTTTGGACCGACTGAAGCCTTGTACGTAGAGCCTGGTAGGTCGGATGAAGATCAATAGCACTGTTGATTGTGCCAACTGGGGACCAACTTTCAACCGCCAGTCTGGCCACCTTGTCATTGGGTCGGCCGATGCCTCTCGTTCCCCCAAAGGCAAAACTGTGCTTCTTATGTTGTATTTGGCCATATACCAGTGGCAGTATATTCTCGCGGTTGACTGCCAGGTGGTGATCATGCAATCTTATTCCGAGATGTTTGCCCGTTTCACCAACATACCTCGCATTGCAATTTTGGCAATGAATGCTGTAAACTACTGCTGATTGTTCCGTTGCGAGTAGCGGGTCTCAGCGTCTCGTTATCTGCTGTCTGATAGTGTATTCCTATTTGTTGCCCACCCCAATCCCAAAAGTATTACGAATTGTTCCTGTCGCCTCTGAAACATTCCTCACACAGGGGATCGGAGAGCTTACAGGCACACAGACCTTGCAGCGACCACGACAGCCGGGTGAGGGTCAAAGCTCTCACGAGTGCGCCAGCGGTCGCCCACGGAGCGACGAATGCCACTCCCCAATCAGAAGACAGGTCAGAGTTCGTGCGTCAGGCATGCCTATAACACGAGAGGGACGACGAGGCACAACAACTCTGGGCTAGCAGGAACAGCCACCCCACCACTATGATGATGGAAGCGAGGCAGTTTCCGAAACGTCAGCACCAATACAGTGTGTCAGCGGTCGGCCACGGAGAGACCAAAGCCAGAAGACAGGTCAGAATTCGTGCGTCGCGTATGCCTATAACACATCGAGGTTTGTCAACTGAAAGGAAACGCGCGTATGTTCTGATGGGGGAAATGGTCGTCTTAATGCGTTTTCTTAATACGCAGCTGGTAGTGCACACGCTTTACTTCTCTAACAAGGAGTCCGATCTCCTAGAACTTGAAAGTATGGCTGAGTTGCGTCTGGTGGGCGGCGGCTTAAAAGCAGTCCTCATTCATCCTCTCTCACGGTGCGCGTTTGGCCATCCACGTCCAAAACAACCTTAACGTTCTACGCTTCCTTGTTGATGTCAGTAGTGATGGGCTGGTGGATGAAGCGGTCGAAATGCTCGAAATCATTTAACGTTTTCGACATTGCTAAAAAACTAAAAACTCCTACATTTGAAATCAGAAGAGTCCTTTAACGAGGTTAGCAAAATTGCCCCAATGATTCGTGAAAGCTGTTTAATGTTAAATAGGCTACGACTTCACAACAGTGATCATGTTGTTGTTGTTGTCATTGGTGTTGTTGTTGATGTTGCTGTTGTTGTTGTTATGACATAACGTATCATAAATATTGCGCACGACGTGAGGTAGGAGCTTGACTATGCAGGTAAGGCAAAAACTGAAATTCCACGTACCAAGTCGTTGAGGTGGGGAGGTCTTGCCTTTCCCAGTGCCGCAGCTCTGCAAGACGCTCCAACTCGTCAGCACTCTCGGCATCCTCGGGCACTTGGCTTACCGCTTTCAGGAATGGTTTTTCCCCAGTTTCACTGAAGGACACAAGCCAGGGTTTAAATCCAGACGGTTTTTGGATCGCATAGCATGAAGCACTCGTCAATCATGTCAATTTTCATAACTCACGTGAATGCTACAAAGTCCTCGTAAAGAGCAATAATTATCAAGTGAAGGACCAGCTCCAGGAGCGTTTCGGACCAATTCGACTGCTGGTTTCCATATATAGTACCGATGTCCAGCAGCTGACGGAGAAGACGGACAAAGGTGGAACAGCGGAGCAGGCGCAAGATGGGCGCATTCAGGTGGTCCACGAAACGTCGCCGAGGACGGGGTGGTGGTGGCGGAATGGGGAAATCCGCTGGTAAGGGGTTGGTGTTGTCTTCATGCGCCTGCTTTAACGCCCGAATTACCGCCTCCCTAGTCTGTCAAGAAACCAGCGTTTATGATTTTATAATATGTTACTGAAAACGTACAAGTAGAAAGTGTTTATTACAAAACTTACCACAACCTGTCTATTTAGTCTGTAGGAAGGATAGAAGAGGTCAAATCGACAGGCCAGCACATCAGGCCGCAGAATTAATTTCGTCTCCTCTCCCACCAAAGTCCGTGTGGCCACTTGCTGCAATATGCGAGAGACAAGACCTTCTAGATCGTCATTGCAGAACGCGCTTCGGTCAGCGACCGCGTCCCCATTGTCACTCGAGTTGTTCCACTTGTTATTGTGTCCTGTCGGCGGCGCACGTAGGCCGCAGTAGGGCGGCGTCTCACGCAGGCAGCTACGCGGGGGCTGGGGAGGTAGGGCCCACAAGAGCTCTAACGGGGTCATTGGACGCACGCAGAGCTCGTGAATGACATCGTCCACCAGGAGGCCGTAGTCAATCTCCAGCGACTCGTCCAGATCCTTGAAGTCGGGAGGAAAGAGATGTGCTGAGGAGGGTATGGCCGCGACCACTGAGGGGTCGAAGTATCCGACAGCGTGGCGAGACCGACTGGTCACAATGAAGTGCAGAACGCGCAGCAGGCTCTCCGCTGCCTGCACACTCCCAGGTCTCGTTTGCGATGGGGGGGTTCCACTAGAACAGTAGAAGGATTCTGAGAAAGACACAGCGAGGGGGGGGGCGATTGAGGAGTGGCAATTGGATGAAGACCGTAGGTATGCAGTAGCATGGCGACTGCATTACATAAATACTGCTGTTTCTTGTGAATGAGCCGCCCTTATCTGCTATTATCTCTGATGATGGCTTCGAGCAGGAGTCAGAAACGTCAGGCGAATAAAGCTCTTGTCCCAGCGATCGTGTCTACTTCTTCAAGACAGCTACCTCCTGGGACTCGTTTTTTTTACGTTTATTGGCGATGTCATGAATAGAAAAAATGCTGCGCTGTCAAAAAAACTCGACGAATTCAGGCCGTCTAAGTCAATTAAAGGCGAGGCCGTTTGACTGGTCTCGCATATCTGTCTATTTTGTTATTTTCGATATATTCCTGAAAATAGAAGCAGGCATTTGTCAGAAATATCGCAGTAATAAACCGTTCTTATCGTTTACTAACTTTCTTTCAGATAACAAACACGGAACATTCCTGGGATCCGATTTTTCTCATGCAGTCAGAAGAATAAACATTCGGATATGTTCCCTCCATTGAAGCAACTGGACAGGCGCATGGCTAAGTGTTCAAGCGACTTCGTCATGCGGGAAGGACCAATACCTACTGCTCTAGATTCACTGGCACCCGAGCACCACCCTGTAAATAAATAAAACAAACTTCGTCTCTAAGTGAGATAACCCACTACCACTGTAAGAACGCCACCAGGATAAGTCAAGCCAGGAAAGAAAGACAACTTTAATGCCTTCGGCACCTTTTTTGTCTTCTGTCCTCTGAGATTTCAGGACCTCTACGGTAAACCCGACCCCACTGAGAGAAAATGCACAGAAGACGTGCCAGCTCGCGAAGTGTTAACCGACGCGAAAAGATTATTAAATTAGGTTTGCCAAATTAATCACCGTGCAGCAAACTTCCAAGATATTTCAGCTACTTCGAGATGTCGGCTTTTGAATTAACTTCGATTCCGACGCCCACAAAAAAACACTCTGTAAAAAATGACAACATATGCAGCATGATAGTTTTCATTGATTGTTGAGGCCCCTCTAAATTCAAACATATTTCATAGAAGACATGCATAAAAGAATTGTTCATTTACCCATTTGGTAGAGAATTACGTCTTCTTCAAATTCTACACATACGGGGAAGGCTATAATTCGCTTTTAAAGAAGTTTCTAGTTATGAGATTTTTTAAGAGCGTGAAATTTCCCTTCATAAAACATCTTGTCTCTGCATTTACTTATGCTTCTTGTAAAGTTTACATTATACTCAAATCCACTAATAAATTTAATAAACCCCTATACGGTCTCCTCTTACTAATGTAGAGATATATGTGATTTTTCGCACACAGAAAAAAACGTCTTGCAGTTTAGAAAACCTGAATAGGAAGGTAACGGCAGGTCGGGTTCAAAATTATTCGGGAATCGGAAAAGCTTTTTTAAAACCGAATTATACCCTTCCTTCAGGCATAAAATATGAACATGACGAAATTTTCTATCAAAATGCCAACAAGGCATATTTTATGCAACTATGGGATATAGTTGGATTTATGAGGACATTGAAAATCAATGAGAAAAACTTATACTATGTAAACAGTCATTTTTTGCAGAATATAATTTTCGCAGTCAGCCGAAGAGAATTTCGTTCAAAAGCTGGCATCCAGAAGTAACGGAAATATCTTGGGATTATGCTGCACCATGATTAATATTACAATCCTATATAGTGTTTTTGAGTCGAAAACGCATTTCCAAATTTCGGTTAACATTTTCTGAGTTGGCACATCTACTGTATGCATAAGAATCAACTACGCCTCGAACATTTACCACGTGATGTCTGCAACATCGTCGATGCAGTTGATGAGGCAGGATCCCCGAAACTAGTCGCATATTAGAAAGGGTACATTCTATCGTTGCATTAGATGGTAAACATTGCCTACAGTTCAACAAGATGTCGACAGCCAACAGACACAATCATACAACCACAAACTGCAGTGTGGGGGATGACTTATGCCCTCGAATCTATGTTTGCGTAAGACGGTGCGACTCAAACGATATTTTTAGAATATCGGGGTATTATACAGCGGTGGCTAGGGCCAGTGACGACAAGAAAGTTAATTTCTTGACCGACTCATTCTCTGAACTGCACCTTAGGTAGTCCTTGAGGTTGAGCTTGTGCACCATGCGAACAATCAGCTCATCTGGAGGCAAAACCGCGGCCGCTTGCTGGAGAAGCTGATAGTCCCGTCCCACTGTCTCCACTGTCAACCTTGTAAACGTCTCCGCCAGCTATTATGACAATCAAGACAGAGGGAGTGTCTTAAGGCTGGGAATATCAGCCACACTAAATAACACCAATCAAAGGCATAGACTGCTCACAAGATTTCCAATGACGCTATCGTTTGGCAGCCACAGGTTGGTTGAGAACTGAGCAAACAAAGCGACCATCTGTAGTGGCCTCTCAATAGCCAGATTCGCGAAACCCTACAACAAATGAAAGAGAAAGGGCTTACGGAAGTAAAGGCGAATGCAGTGCTACGTGGTGATCTGGATAGGTGACAGACCTCATCAGCCAGACCGAGAAGGGTTGGATGAAGACCCATTTCGATACCATGTCCGTAAAGGGCTGCCAGTAGCCGAGGCAGGGGCTGAACGATGCTCACTTTCATTACTGCCACATCGTACTCGTAGACTTCCGAGGTAGCTC